CTCAATGAGGTGAAGAAGAATCCTAGAGTGTCAGCTAAAGACTTACAAAAGTTACTGGCAAATGTTAATATCCCTGTTAGCGAATCTACAATACGTAAAACACTAAATAAGAATGGATTTCATGGGAGGATACCACAGAGGAAGTCACTGCTGTCCAAACAAAACATTGCTGCACGTTTACAGTTTGCACAAGAGCACCTGGATGTTCCACAGCAGTACTGGCAAAATATTCTGTGGACAGATGAAACTAAAGTTGAGTTGTTTGGAAGAAACACACAACACTATGTGTGGCTAAAAAAAGGCACAGCACACCAACATCAAAACCTCATCCCAACTGTGAAGGGTGGTGGTGGGGGCATCATGGTTTAGGGCTGCTTTGCTGCGTCAGGGCCTGGACGGATTGCTATCATACAAGGAAAAATGAATTCCCAAGTTTATCAAGACATTTTGCAGGAGATCTTAAGGCCATCTGTCTACCAGCTGAAGCTCAACTGAAAATGGGTGTTGCAACAGGACAATGACCCAAAGCATAGAAGTAAATCAACAACAGAATGGCTTAAACAGAATAAAATACGCCTTCTGAAGTTTCCCAGTCAGTGTCCTGACCTCAACCCGATTGAGATGCTGTGGCATGACCTCAAGAAAGCGATTCACACCAGACATCCCAAGAATATTGCTGAACTGAAACAGTTCTGTAATGAGGAATGGTCAAGAATTACTTCTGACCGTTGTGCACGTCTGATCTGCAACTACATGAAACGTTTGGTTGAAGTTATTGCTGCCAAAGGAGGTTCAACCAGTTATTAAATCCAAGGGTTCACATACTTTTTCCCCCTGCACTGTGAATGTTTACATGGTGTGTTCAATAAAAACATGGTAACAATTCATTCTTTGTGTGTTATTAGTTTAAGCAGACTGTGATTGTCTATAGTTGTGACTTAGATGATGATCAGATCACATTTTATGACCAATTTGTGCAGAAATCCATATCATTCTAAAGAGTTTACATACTTTTTCTTGCAACTGTATATATATATATATATATATATATATAAAAAAATGTTTTACTACCTCCTCCTCCACCGCTGCTTTCACCTACACCGCCACAGTCACCACCTCCTCAACCTATGGGTCACTTAGTATAAACTATGTACACATTAGCAAAAGGCTTGTGAAGGCCTTTTCTCCATGCATCAGGATTTGAGCATTTCTCCATGCATCAGGACTGCAAGAAATGCACAGCAGGCCGCAAAATGTTTCTTTTTTTGTATGTCCCAATATTTTGTGGGCTACCACAATAAAAAAAAAAAAAGTGTTGGCTTTCTCATCCTCCTCCTCCACCGCCGCTTCCACCTACACTGCCACATTCACCGCCTCCTCAACCTATGGGTCACTTAGTATAAACTATATACACATTAGCAGAGGCTTGTGAAGGCCTTTTCTCCATGCATCAGGAGTTGAGCTTTTCTCCATGCATCAGGACTGCAAGAAATCCACCGCAAGCCGCAAATGTTTCTTTTTTTGTATGTCCCAATATTTTGTGAGCTACCACAATTAAAAAAAACAAAACCCATGAAAAACAGTGTTGGCTACCTCATCCTCCTCCTCCACCGCCGCTTCCACTTATACCGCCATGGCCACCGCTTCCTCAACCTATGGGTCACTTACTACAAACTATGTACACATTAGCAGCGGCTTGTGAAGGCCTTTTCTCCATGCATCAGGAGTTGAGCATTTCTCCATGCATCAGGACTGCAAAAAATGCACCGCAGGCCGCAAATGTTTCTTTTTTTGTATGTCCCAATATTTTGTGGGCTACCACAATAAAAAAAAACAAAAAAACATAAAAAACAGTGTTGGCTACCTCATCCTCCTCCTACACCGCCGCTTCCACCTACACCGCCACGGTCACCTCCTCCTCAACCTCTGGGTCACTTAATATAAACTATGTACACTATAGCAGAGGCTTGTGAAGGCCTTTTCTCCATGCATCAGGAGTTGAGCGCAGTTTGAACAATGAAAGAGAATACCCTGCACTCTAACCCTCTCCCAAATGGATAATTCTGGTGATCCTCCTGACAGCCATGCTTTAGATTTTGATTTATGTTCTTCCAAAGCTAAAATCGAAGATTACATCTAGTGCTATTTTATGGCTCAGCTGTATTTTTTATTTTTATGTTATTTTAAGTGATTTCCCTATCCACATTTGTTTGCAGGGCACATGTCCTACTCTTACCCCCATTTTACTTCCTTTTGCAGCTCTCTAGCCCTTCCAGGAGTTTTTTAGAGGCATTTATGTGGCCAAAAGTTCAGGTCCCCATTGACTTCAATGGGGTTCGGGGTCAAGTTCGGGGTCAAGCTTGATCCTGAACCCGGACTTTTTTTCAAAGTTCGGCCGAACCCGCCAGACCAAACATCCAGGTGTCTGCTCAACTCTACCCAGGTGCACCCTTAACTAAACAGGACATGTAAGGATACCTAAGAGATCTAAAGTCTTATGTAGTGAATGAGCTACAAAAACACCTACAGCCCATTACTGATGGCATGGCGGACTTGGCAACCAGGACTCACAAAGTCAAAGACAAAATGGAGGAAGTGGTGGAAGTCATTAACACCCATGGCACTGACCTTCAAGAACTAAAAGACCAAATCTGCTTGAAGAAGCAAACAAAGACCTGTGCAACAGGACACGGATGGATAATATTAGAGTGCGAGGCCTATCTGAAACAGTGTCGACTGAACTCCTAGAGACCACACTGAAAGAAGCCTTCAAAGGCCTCCTGTCTGATGCCTCTGACACAGAGCTCTTCATGGACAGAGCCCACCGGGCCCTCAGAGCACCAAGTACCAACACCATGATACCTCGAGACGTTATCATACGCATGCATTTTCACATCAAGGAGCATCTGATGCAGGCTGCCAGAGACGCACCAGTGATGGTGGAAGGTACCCCGATCCACTTATTCCAGGACCTAGCACCCAGCACATTAAAGAAACAAAGGGACCTTCACACTCTCACACAACTACTCACACAGTACGGATTGCGCTACTCCTGGGGACAACCCTTTAAACTTACCATACATAAGGACAATAAATTCTACACGATTTTGCACCACAGCGAAGCCCCGGCACTGTTAGAAAAGCTAGGCCTACCACAACAAAATCACCCACCAAGACAGGGATTGCTAGATCCACTACAAAAAACAAGCAGCATCAAGAAGCACGAAACAAACAGGCATGCCGACAACAGATCCTGCAACCCCATCCACGTCCAGAGCCAAGTAAAACCACCACCAAGCAACTTACTGGACACCCAGTCGCAAACATTCTGCAAGACCGGTCCAGACCGACTACCTCCACAAAACAGCACTTGTCAATACAGGGAAAACATACCAAACCCACACTGACACAGACTGAGGGACTAACCGTAACCACCAGCAAACAGCATAGTGAAGGGGAGAAAACACATGGAGCAGAAAACGCACAGGCAGGGGCGGGGGAGGGGGAAGATGCAACTCGTAGCTACTGGGGAGCTTTGTATTAATATTAATTTTTATCACATTTTTTGTTAAATTTATTTATATTTCCTTTTTTTGTTACTAATGCTAATCTCGCACCAAACAATAAGACCGTGACTTGATGCACCCACAAAGCACCGATGCTGACGAACAGCAACCTCACGATCGACCAGGAACCACGGACTCAGGCCAGACCCCATGACCATTCCCCCCCGAATAGCCGACCCCACAGCTTCGACAATGAATGTCTGCCAACCACTTAACCAACAAGCGACAATGGCCTACCACCTTCCCCAACAGCCCACACTTAAAGGACCACTATAGTGCCAGGAAAACATACTCGTTTTCCTGGCACTATAGTGCCCTGAGGGTGCCCCCACCCTCAGGGTCCCCCTCCCGCCCGGCTCTCTGGAGGGGGAAAGGGGTTAAAACTACCTTTTTCCAGCGCGGGCGGGAGCTCTCCTCCTCCTCATCCTCCTCGGCTGAATGCTGCCAGCGGCTGAGCTGCGATTCGCCGGGTCACATAGGAAAGCATTCATAATGCTTTCCTATGGACGTCGCTGGAGTGTTTCCTCACTGTGAAAAATCACGCAAGCGCCTCTAGCGGCTGTCAATGAGACAGCTGCTAGAGGAAATAGGGGAAGGCTTAACCCATTCATAAACATAGCAGTTTCTCTGAAACTGCTATGTTTATGAAAAAATGGGTTAACCCTAGCTGGACCTGGCACCCAGACCACTTCATTAAGCTGAAGTGGTTTGGGTGCCTAGAGTGGTCCTTTAACAACTACCAGCCGCATTCACTAACAGCCCCAAAATCACCACGTCTAAGGACCACTGACATGTCACATCACCAAACACTGACAGCCCTCTTAGATAGACAACTCCACACCTCTTCACCCCTCAAAACCACAATCCAACCATTTGACAGCAGACCTAGACCTAACCAACACCCAAGACTAATGACTGGAAGATAAGCAGACCTGCAGCACACTGAGTCCAGGTCAAGCTATACAGGTTTTCATATGTCACAAGACAACGCTGTTGTACCTGTTCAAGATGGTTATACAAATATGTTATACTCTTAATGATGGTTCAAAATGTTAACACTGTTACTAATTTTTTCAAGGAAGGTCCTCTGTCACAACCTGTAGACGATGATGTTAGCACACGGAGGACTGACTACACCTTCAGGGCTCAATCTTCCGCGAGAACTTTTCTACTGCAATGTATTTGACTGAATAGGTAGATCTATACCTACTACATATACAAACACACATGATCACACTCCACACCATATGCACAACAAATAGAACCATACACGCAAGCAACAACAATCTGCCCCACCTCCCACAGATCAAAAATAACGAAAGGTGAAGCGCTACATACAAATTGAAGTCCAATTCTTATAACTGTCGTTCTTGTCGATCAATATTTTTCTGAATGGTATATAGATCTTACTCTAAAAAGGAAATTAAAATACTCTTAGTGCAACACTGGAACCATATATGGAACCACTCACATATTACTGAGCTTAGTCGTAAGCTCAGTAATATGTGAGTGGTTCCATATATAGAGTTTATATTGTTTTTAATATTTTTGTTACAGTGTTGCACTAAGAGTATTTTAATTTCCTTTTTAGAGTAAGATCTATATACCATTCAGAAAAATATTGATCGACAAGAACGACAGTTATAAGAATTGGACTTCAATTTGTATGTAGCGCTTCACCTTTCGTTATTTTTGTTTTGTGGTTGGTGTATATGGAAAGATTACACATGGTGATATAGCAGCTTACATTATTGTTATATATATATATATATATATATTATACATTGTGGAATTGTTTAATTTTAGAGCGCCAGTATATTATTATTTTGTATTTGTACACCTCCCACAGATGCCTACTATCCTCATCCTGCACACCCCCCTGCCCCCACATGGCACTATCACCAACTCAGCAGGACCGGCTGGTCCTAACCATACCGAGTCTCCCGCTCACCATTAACTGGCCACACAGATCATACCAGTCTAACTATCCTTCACACTCTTCTCTCTAATCTGCTCTCCACATACGACCTTTCGAGGGGGTGGAGGGAGTGGTGGGACAGCTATCCACTCCAGCCTAACTTACCTTCCTTGCCCCCCTTCCTCATCTAGCTTCTCTAGTCCCCCTTATTTTATCTCTTCCCGTATCACCCCTCACCTGATAACCCCTACCCTGCTCCCATACCCGACAGATCAACACTAATCTCTCTAATCTACGCTCTAGTGGTGGGACAGCTACCCACTCCAGCCTAACTTACCTTCTGTCATGGCTTACCTGAGTTGGGAGTCTGGCAGGCAGAGATATATGCTCACCCTTGCAAGTAAACACAGCCCGAGGTGGTCAGGTAAGAATTCACCTCGCCTGTGAGTCGGTGCACGGGGGCTGTGCATGATAATTCTCCAAGTTGCAGTACAGGAACGGATAAAGCAGGAGAATCGTCGTGGGAAGCCCAAGGTCAGAGGATCAGACCAGAAATCAGAATGAACAAAACAACAAGCCAAGGTCAAGAGTAAACTGGAGAATACGAAACAGCAGTATGATCACCAGAGTCAAGGAACTGACACTGCCTTCTTTGTTTTATACCTGGTTAATGAGACCATCATCTTCAGGTGTACCAAGAGTGGGAGGAGTAATACTGGCATTACTAAAGCTGAATGGTGGCTCAGAGGTAACATAGAAGCCCCAGGATCAGACCAGAAATCAGAATAAACAAAACAACAAGCCAAGGTCAAGAGTAAACTGGAGAACACGAAACAGCAGTATGATCACCAGAGTCAAGGAACTGACACTGCCTTCTTTGTTTTATACCTGGTTAATGAGACCATCATCTTCAGGTGTACCAAGAGTGGGAGGAGTAATACTGGCATTACTAAAGCTGAATGGTGGCTCAGAGGTAACATAGAAGCCCCAGGATCAGACCAGAAATCAGAATAAACAAAACAACAAGCCAAGGTCAAGAGTAAACTGGAGAACACGAAACAGCAGTATGATCACCAGAGTCAAGGAACTGACACTGCCTTCTTTGTTTTATACCTGGTTAATGAGACCATCATCTTCAGGTGTACCAAGAGTGGGAGGAGCAATACTGGCATTACTAAAGCTGAATGGGGGCTCAGAGGTAACATAGCAGCCCCAGGACTGCAAAGTACCCAGTTCAAACCTGCTACTGGGCACTCCTCAGGTAACTCAGAGTGTTTGGCACTCCGGAAGTTGCGGTGGGAACCGTGACACCTTCCTTGCCCTCATGTAGCTTCTCTAGTCCCCCTTATTTTACCTCTTCCCTTATCACCCTTCACCTCATAACCCCCACCCTGCTCTCATACCCGACAGATCAACATGCCACCCACAACGCTCAAAATCAAACGCACCTCGATAAATGCCAAAGGCTTAACCCCTTAAGGACCAAACTTCTGGAATAACAGGGAATCATGACATGTCACACATGTCAAGACATGGACTAATGCGGTGGGCCAACCGTACAGGAGCCGATGTCATTCTGGGCCAACCGTACAGGAGCCGATGTCATTCTCATTCAAGAGACACAATTTACTTACCATCACTGTTTCCCACTGACTAAAAGATGGTTTAAATGATACTATCTGGCCGGACCCAAACAAAAAAGGAGTAGCCACAATTGCCCATTAACAAACATATCAGTCCAGAAAGACTCTGGTGGAAGATATCTGTCCCTGACATGACAAATTGGAATGCTCAAAATAACAATATGCTCAATCTATGCCCCAGACAAACCCAGATCGCTCATTCTGGGACCTCCTTAAAACCCACATAGCCACCCTGCCCTGTTCCCACCTAATCCTCGGTGGCGATTTTAATGCGACCCACACACCAGCGATTGACCGCACAACCCAAGCAAGGAACCCAACCCCTTGACAAACAACAAACTCTTTGCTAAATTCCTCAAGGCCACAAACCTGCTGGACATCTGGTGGGCCCAACACTCCTCTACTTTCAACTACACCGTCTACTCACACGTGCACCACTCATAATCCAGAATTTACAACTTTTTAATATTGTCAACCACACAACCATGGATAACGCAAACAGACGTGGGGACTATCTCCTGGTCTGATCACGCTGACATCAGTTTGAACTTACTATTTCTAACCTGATCAAGCCATGGTCATGGTGCCTGAACCCCATCTTACTACATGACCAAACCATAATACAAACTATCACAAATTATCTATTTCCCCACTAACTCTACACCAGATGCCACATCCAGCATAATATGGGCAGCCCACAAAACAATGATAAGGGGCAGGCTCACTAGCCACCTCTCTCAAAAAACAACACCTTCAGCAATTTACAGAAGCCATGAAAGACTTGTCTGAAAGCACTACACAAAAAACAACCTACTCCCCAACTATTAGAACAATTAATGGCAACTCGGGACTGGTTAAAATCACTAACCATGACTGACATAGCTAAAACCCTCATGTTGACCAGACAAGTCTCCTATGAGAAAGGCAACAAGGCAGACTCCCTACTCGCACACTACCTTAAAAAAAAAACAGGACATGAACAAAATGTCCAAAATCCGTACCCCCTCTGGCAACATTACTAAAGACCCAGACCAAATAGCGCACACGTTCGTCCAGTACTTACACACACCTATATAACCAGACACCCACCCCAGAGACCCAAACTTATAAAATAACAGAACAGATTGAAACATTTCTTGAACCTCTAACACTTCCCAAATTACCTAATGCAGCTTGCGACCAACTGGCAGCGGAAATAGAGGTCGAGGACCTCAAAGCAACCCTGCAAACGTTCAAACCGCTGGACCTGATGGATTCACATCAATCTACTACAAAACTCCGTGACCAGCTACTTCCACATCTTTGTAAACTTTTCAATTCATTACTTCAGGGGAAAACACTCCTACAAGAAATGCTAGCAGCAAACATATGCCTTCTTTCCAAGCTGGGGAAAGCACATTTGGATCCAGGACATTTGGATCCATCTTTCTACTCAATACAGATATCAAACTAATCACCAACGTCCTAGCAAACTGACATAACCCATTCCTAAACAGACTCCTACACCCGGACCAAGTAGGGTTCATCCCCAGATGACAAACAGCAGACAACACACGCCGAACAATTTATACCATATGGTACGCACTTAAACACAAACTGCCCACTGACGTAATTTCGTTAGACGCTGATAAGGCGTTTGATCACTTGCAATGGCCCTTCCTGTTCCAGGTTCTAACCCATCTGGCATTCCTGGTAGAATTCCTAAACATACTCAATAAACTGACCAACCCAACAGACGACTTGTACTTCCCAATGTCAACGCACCCTCATTCCCTATCTCCAACGGCATACACCAAGGATTCCCCTTGTCCCCTTTATTGTTCGCCATCTCCCTAAAACTCCTTTTACAAGCCATAAGCTTGAACCCAAGAATCGTGGGACTTCAAATCAGACATGAGAAATTCACTTTTGCGGCATATGCTGATGACGTACTCTTCAGACTAACAAATCACCCATCCACGCCACTCTGAGCTTAATTGATGCTTATGCACCACTCTCAGGATACAATACTTATACTTGTTCCAAACTCTATCGATATCCATCATACACCGAGACTTTAAACAATTGCAAGCTGCAATCGACAAATTCATATGGCGATGCTAAAAAACACAACGGGGACAACTATGTATGTCCTGAAAACACATGGAGGCCTAGGACTGCCTAACTTCATACCGTACTACCATGCAACACAAGCAGCCCAAATCCAGCAATGGCACCTGGAGCAAAACGTTGGGTAGACCTCGAACACAATATTTTTGGATGGGAATTCCCCACACACTACATGTGGGCACCACACATACACAGATCACTCCCACCGTCAACCATCACCAACGCCCTAACAATATGGGACAATCTGAAAATAAAATTCGACTTATCATCCTTCCTCTCCCATTAACTCCAATCTAACGTAACAAAATCTTAGTCCACTGGGACTAATGTCACGACACTTCTGAAACTTTAATCATAGAGACATATCCAGGCTAATGCATCTCTACCACCAATCCAATAGTGATGTCGCGAACCGTTCGCGAACTTGCCGCGAATAGTTCGCCACGGTTCGCCACGAACTGTTCGTGGCGAACTCTGGTCAGCTGACACATCCCTGCCAATCTCCGGCAGACCCTCCCTCCCAGACCCTCCTACTTCCTGGACAGCATCCATGTTGAAGGCAGTATCCAAGCAATTGAAATAGTTGGCTGCACTCTCAGATTTCTTTAAAACATAACTTTTATTGAAATATTTAAGAGAAGATCAATGTTTCAGTCCCTCTTGTGGACTTTCATCATGATCCTGATGAAAGTCCACAAGAGGGACTGAAACGTTGATCTTCTCTTAAATATTTCAATAAAAGTTAAATGTTAAGGAAATCCAAGAGTGCAGCCAACTATTTCAATTGCCTATAAATAAATAAATATATATATTTATATATATATATATATAAAAACACCCTACATAGCACAATGACTTATGGGTCTGGCATAGATTTTCTTT